CGGTGCTGTGTTACTTTAACAGACAATTGCGCAGTCATGCAAAGCTGCACACAGATGAAATTTACATCCTTTTTTCCCCACAAATAGAACTTAATTTTGTTTGTATTTTATCACTTGTGCATTTTTAATTTTTTGCACTATAAAAAAAAAGACAGTCCATTTTGAGAAAAAAAATATATTTTTACTTTTTGCTATTAAACATGTCCAGTAAAAAAAATAAAAAAATAAAATTTCATCAAAAAGTTAAGTCAAAATGTATTCTGGGACATGTCTTTGCTAAAAAAAATCCCAATACGTGTAAATTAATTGGTTTATGTGGAAGTTATAGCATTTGCAAAAGCTGGTATATATTTGCTATTAAATACAGTGTTATTATTACACTCAGACGGGCGCCTCCTGTCTCTTTTCTTCTGTCAAATGGTGGTATATATACTGGGATTTTTTATAAAATTTTTACTAGTAATGGCGGAGATCAATGACTTGCAGCAAGACTGCGGCGGGCATTCTGACACTGGGGGGAACTGACTTGGTGTCACTGATATCCCCATTGACACCAATACAGTAATCAGTGCTAATAAAAAGCACTGACACTGTACTAATGGCACTGGACAGGAGTGGGTTAACATGAGGGGCGATCAAAGGGTTAACTGTGTGCTGTGTGTGTTTTACTATGGGCGCTGTGTGTTTGTGCTTCACTGTAAGCACACTGCTTTGCATGGCTCTGCTATGCACAGCCATGCAAAGCAGTGTGCAGGAGCTGACAGGAAAGAGAACTGTTTTGTTTACAAACAGTTCTCTCTCCCCGTCGGAGATGCACGGCAATCACCGGGTACTGGCGAGTAAACATTGTCCGGGACTCAGTGATTGACAGCTGCGACAGCGAATGGCGGCGCGGGTAGGGCTCGCGTGCGCCTCGCACATGCCCTCTACCCGGAAATGCGAAATCACGTATGTATATGTGATTTTGCGCACCGGTGCCAACCTGTAGCTGTACTGCTATAGGGCAGACGGGAAGCAACCAACGTTGTTGCAGATTCCTACCTTTTATTATTCTGAAGAAAATAGCTGTTTGTTTGTGTCCATGTGCAAAGTGAATGTGGACTGGAGTGACTTAACATTATCATCAGCTGCTGCATTTGCATGGTTCTAATGAGGAAACTCACAGGGTCTGCATCCCTTTAGACATGATTTAATTTTGAGAGTATCTTGCCAAAAATGGCATTTTTGCTGCAGGGGATGCCCAAAATCAGACTTGTATCTTAGTGCAGCGTTCTGGTACAATCAGCAAGCCAACCACACAAGCAGGAAATTATGTTTCTTGGGTGGTGTTCTGTACACCATCTGTGTACAGAATGCCTCCAGGTTGCCATATTGCATTGCATTTTACAGAGAATTCTAGCACTGCAGGTTGAAAATGAAGTTAGAAAAATCATAAAAAACAGCGCAAATAAATGTTCCAAAAAACTCAAACAGTGCAGAATAAATATTAATAATATTTTGTTAAGATAGTCCCACTCCAAATAACATAGGATATAGTGAATAGAATAAAGTCCTTGCTGCAAGACCCTTGACCAGTATTTCACACCCGTTTGTATTATAATCACACACTGCACTCACCACATATTGGTGAATAACACCCCATACCCTCCCTAGCGGTCTGATTATGTCCATATTTCTATCCTCAAAGCGGTACATTTTTTTGCATGGAAATATTTATTTTTTTTATTGTAGGCCTGTAATTTTTAGGAATAACTCACTGAAATCTGTCCGAACAAGAGTCTAGTAAACATCCCGGGTAGGATAAAACTTGAAACATGAAATCATAAATTATAATTTAATACATAATCATAAAAAATAATAATATAATAATAATACATTTAATTCAGTAATATAATCAAACCGAAAACACTGAAATTGGAAATATAGCGCCAAGTTCGCACATCACTGAGCAAAGCCGCAAAATCGTTTTCAGTGTCTGATGATGAATTTCCCCACAAATCATTATCACTCCATTCTGCAAGTGGTTCTTATTTACTATGGTTTTCCTTATTTTTTTAGTGGTATCACTAAGGAGCAGCAGCATTTTTGGGAATAATTTCACAATTTTTTGGCGCTGGTGATTTTTTGTTGAAAATGAACTTAATTTTTAATCATATTCAATTACAATATAACATATAGCAACTGTAAACACTATATGAAAGCGGAGGTACCCTTTCATTTCCAATTATTCCTCTCACATTTATTATCTGTTTTCATACTACAGTATGTTTTCTCGCAGGTCATCATCTACCACCATACCTCCATTATTCCCCTCATGTTGATTCATCTACCCTAATCCTCCAATTATTCTTCCCATAAAATACTCCACCCTATGTGTCTCCATATTCCTACTATTCCCCATACAGCTTATTATCTACCACAACTAATGTACAAGTAACAATGAACACAGCTGTTTGGCTGGTAGAGTACGCCTTACTTCTGATATCACCTACAGTAGAACACAGACATTTGGGGGAAGATTTACTAAAACTGGCGCACACCAAATCTGGAGCAGCTGAGCATGGGAGCCAATCAGCTTCCAACTTCAGCTTGTTCAATTAACCTTTAACAATAAAACCTTGAAGCTGATTGGTTTATATGAAGAACTGCACCAGATTTTGCCCCCTCCAGTTTTAGTAAATCTCCCCCACAGTAAGTAAAATATATATAACTATATGGGGCAGCACAGTGGCTAAATGGTTAGCACTTCCGCTTGGCAGTACTAGGGTCGTTGGTTCAAATCCCAGCCACGGCACCACCTGCCTGGAGTTTGCATGCTCTCCCTGTGCCTGCGTGAGTTTCCTCAAGGTACTCCAGTTTCCTCCCACGCTCCAAAGACATGCTGGTAGGTTAATTAGATCCTGTCTAAATTGGCCCTAGTATGTGTATGAATGTGAGTTAGGGACAGGGGCGGACTGACCATTTGGAAACCCGGGCACTACCCCAGGGCCTGGGGTCAGTAGGGGGCCCCATGAGATGCCCCTGGTACCTTTTTCATAGGCTTTTTTGAGTTTGGGCAAGGACACAGGGGCCCCATGATCCCCTATTTCCCGGGGGCCCCATGAGTTGTCAGTCCGCCCCTGGTTAGGGACTTTAGATTGTACACCCCTTGAGGGTTAGTGACTGATGTGAATGTACAATATATATGTAAAGCACTGCGTAAATTGACAGCGCTGTATAAGTACCTGAAATAAATTAAATAAATATAACTAACTGACTTTTCTCTGTACATTTTCAGCATATCTATCAAAACTGAAAACGTTGCAAAACAATACATCAATAGTAAATGTGATGAGACCACCTCCAAAAATATAAAAGATTGTCAAGCAGTACCTGCAATTGTACACACAAAATATAATGTGTGTGCATGGACATGACTTCATAAAAGCATGCCTGGGGTTTTAATGAGGGGCCCTGCCTAAATGACCACATCTCAGGTATTGCAGACCCTGTGTATTGCATCACAGTATTTGTTTATGTGGAATAGGATTTTTTTTGTGTAATATTTCACATTATACTCAGGTTATCTCAATCATATTTTATTGTTTGCTCTCACACTCCATACCAAAAAGGTCACCGTCACAGGAAGCTTCTCTCTCAGTGAAACGTGTTAATTGGTCTCACTACACAGAAGATTCCAACTTCACAGCCCTCCACAGTGTTCCTTTTGGGTATCTAAGGCCGGCCATACATTATACAATTTTTTTGAGATTTTTGGTTTAGATTTACCAAAAACCATATAATAGGAGATCAAAACTAACAACACTTTCAATTGTATCCAATTAGGCAGGCTCTTGCACTACATAGTTGAAGGTAAATCCAAAGGAAATTGGGTGAAAATTGGACAGAAAATTTTAAGAAAATTGTATAATTTATGGCCAGCCTAAGGCTACTAAAATGACTTTTTATATGTTAAAAAAAATCTGAAGTATATATTTAAAAAATATATATATTAAAAAATATTTTTCATATATTTTGTAACATGCAGTGTATATATATATATATATATATATATATATATATATATATATATATATATTTGGGAAGAATATCTTTAAAATATATTTCAAATATATTATTCTTCCATATGGGTAGAGACAGGAAGTGAGGGAAAATTCTCCGAATGGGGTCGCATACAGAGAGAAAGACACCTGATAGGATTTTTAAGTCTTCCCTAATCATCTTAAAGTGATATTGAACCCCAATCCAAAAATGTAATATATTGCAGCTTACCAGTCATCAGATGTGGTGGCTGCAATTGTTTTCTATTTTCCCTATGTTTCCCTCTGTTTTCACCTGGTGATCTGGCCAGTAACACAGCTCCTGTGTTAGGGTGTCCCCACAATGGGTGAAAGAGCAACAGAGACACCTTTAGACAGCAGCATTGAGAGTCTGGGGGAAGGATAATGTTAGATGTACTAGCAGATTAACCTCCCTGGCGGTATGATTATTTCAGATTTTTGGTGCTGAAAGCGGTACCATTATTTTGCATGGAAATATGTTTTTTTTTATTGTAGGCCTGTAATTTTTAGGAATAACTCACTGAAATCTGTCCGAACAAGAGTCTATTAAACATCCCGGGTATGATAAAATTTGAAACACTAAATCATAAATTATAATTTAATAAATAATCATAAAAATAATAATATAATAATAATAAATTTAATTTAATAATATAATCAAACCAAAAACACTGAAATTTGAAATATATCGCCAAGTTCGCACATCACTGAGCAAAGTCGCAAAATCGTTTTCACTGTTTGATGACGAATTTCCCCACAAATCATTATCACTCAATTCTGCAAGTGGTTCTGATTTACTATCGCTGTTCTCTAGCCGGTCTAAAACCGCTTTTGACCTAAAGTGACGCGCTTTTTGGACGCCATGGACGTTTCTCAGTTTCCAGGCAGAAAGAACAGTAAAAATGCAGGCAGGGCACAGGACAAAGCACTCGGGATAAAATGTATGTGAAATGGTTTGATACAGTAATGGAATACTATGTGATTTTAGTGATTTTAGTGAATGTCACTTTTTGTCATTTTTGAATTTCCCGCCGTTCCGTCCCCGTACGTCCCGACGCTCACAGGGGACGGAACCCAGATGACAGATGCCGGCATCTGCCGGATTACATTGTCGGGGGGACACTGCAGGAGGGACATCGCGGGAGCGCAGGAAAAGGTAAGTGATCGAGGGATCGTGGAGCAGCGCCGCATGGTAAGCCCGAGTGTAGCTCGGGGTTACCGCTTGTGGTACTGAAACCTTACCCCAAGCTACACTCGGGAATACCGCCAGGGAGGTTAAGATACACAAACAAATTGAAGGCAAACTCCAGCTAACACTTTATAGACAGTTACAGCTACCACCGATTTTTTTTCCTTTTCGTTTCCCTTAAATAAATCAAAGCTGATCATTGTAAGCATCTCTGTCAATGCTAAAATATGGTTTGTCTCAATTCTATAACTGCTACATCTGCAAGACAGCTTGTTCTTTTGAAAAACAACAGACTTACTGGCGGGATCGCAAGGCGAGAAGAAAGAAAAGAAAGCCTAAAAAAGAAAATAAATGCAGCCATCACATCTAAGAATTGTTAAGCTGCAATATAATACATGTTTGTTTTTGGGTTTCTTTTCACTTTTCAAAAAACTAATTTGTTGGGCTTTGAAACTATATTCCAGGCAAATCCTTTGGCAGGTAAAGCAGCACCCACATGTGCATTTCAACTATGTATTCAGCTGACATTTTGTTTAACCACTTGCCGTCCTGAGGATTTACCTCCCTTCCGGACCAGGCCATTTTTTTTTACGATACGGCGCTGCGCTACTTTAACTGACAATTGTGCAGTCATGCAACGCTGAGTATAAATGAAATTTATGTTCTTTTTTTCCCCACAGATAGAGGTTTCTATCATTGGTATCTGATCACCTGTGCGATTTTTTTTTTTTTTGCGGTATAAACAAAAAAAGACCGACAATTTTGAGAAAAAACAATAATTTTTGACTTTTTGCTATTAAACATGTCTAATAAAAAAATGTATTAAAAAAATCAAATTTCAGCATACATTTAGGCCAAAATGTATTCTGCTACATGTCTTTGCTAAAAAAAATCCCAAAGAGTGTAAATTAATTTACGCGAAAGTTATAGCATCTACATCTACATCTACTTATAGTGGGACTGCGGCGAGCATTCTGACACTGGGGGGAACTGACTTGGTGTCAGTGACATCCCCAGTGACACCAATACAGTGATCAATGCTAATAAAAAGCACTGAGACTGTACTAATGACATTGGACAGGAAGGGGTTAACATCTGGGGCAATCAAAGGGTTAACTGTGTGCTGTGTGTACAAATCATTATTATCACCTCATCTGGAATATGCAGTTCAGTTTTGGGCACCAATTCAACAAAAGAACATTGGGGAACTGGAGAAAGTACAGAGAAGGGCAACCAAACTGATATGAGGCATGGAGGAGCTCAGCCATGAGGAAAGATTAGAGGAACTGAATTTATTCTCTCTTGAGAAGAGGAGATTAAGGGGGGATATGATCTCCATGTATAATACATAAGGGGGGATATGATCTCCATGTATAAATACATCAGTGGTTCATATAGTGAACTCGGTGTAGAGCTATTCACCCTGAGGTCATCACAGAGGACAAGGGGGCACTCTTTACGTCTGGAGGAAAAGATATTTAATCTCTAAACACGGAAAGGCTTCTTCACAGTGAGAGCTGTGAAAATGTGGCATAGACTCCCTCAAGAGTTGGTTCTGGCCAGCTCAGTGGATTGATTTAAAAAAGGCCTGGATTGTTTCTTAGATACACAGAATATAACTGGATACTAACACTTATAGGTAAATTTGATCCAGGGAATATCCGATTGCCTCTTGGGGGATCAGGAAGGAATGTTTTTCCCTACAGGAGCAAATTGGATCATGCTTTGCTGGGTTTTTTGCCTTCCTCTGGATCAACGGTGGGTATAGGATTATAACTTTTGTCTTTTTTCAGCCAGACTAACTATGTAACTATGTGTGCTGTTTTAGTAGGGAGACATGCTGTGCAGAGAAATACACAACAGCATGTCCTTGCTGGCAGGGGAGAGATCTGTGTTGTTTACATACAGATCTCTCCCCTGTTAGCTCCGCCAACGATCGCCAAATTCCGACGGAGAATTGGCAGCCGAGACCCAGTGATTGACATCCCGAGGAGCCAATAGTAGCGTGGTAGAGGGCGCGCCCATGTGCACCCTCTACCCGGAAGTACAACATCACATATATATACGTGATTTTGTGCAGCACTGTTGCCCTGTAGCAGTACTTCTGCTATAGGGCGGTCAGGAAGCGGCTAAAATGTGTTTTTGGGTGTAAATGTGGCCATTTGTTTTATATATTGTACTAAATACATTTTCTCTTTGCCTAAAGCAACAATGTTACAGTCTTGCAGTATTTTACAATCTCCAATAGATCTACCAATAACTTTGTAGGATGGAGACCTATCTTATTGGATACAAATGAAATGGATTATTTAGACAGGCCCTGGCAGAACATAGTTGTTGGTAAATCTAAAGAAGATTGTACAGAGACTGTAAAATTATATTGTAAAATATGTAATCAGCTTTAGGGACAGCAGACAGCCTTCAGTAATAGGAGCTGGAAGTAAGTGACCTGCCCTTTCACATGGCTTTGCATTTGGTGTACTAGGAGCACAGATAGTCATGCCAGGATGAAAAGCAAAAACTCTTAGTATATTACAGCTTACCAATTCTTAGATCCGATGGCTGCATTTGTTTTCCTTTTTTAGGCTTTCTTTCTTCTATTTTCATCTGGTGATCTGGCCAGAACGTCTGTTGTTTTTCAAAAGAACAAGCTCTCTTCCAGATGTATTAGCTTAGCAAACAAACCATTTACCACTGACAGGGATGCTCACAATGATCAGCTTTTATTTATTCATGTAAAAACTTTATCCTAAAGAGGAGCAAAACTTTTTGCTGTAACTGAATATAAAGTAATAACTGAAGTTTGGCTTCAATTTGGTAGTGTATTTAAATCTGCTAATACGTCTACTGCTAATACGTCTAACACTCCCTTCCCCCCAGACTGCCAGTGTTGCTGTCTTCTGTGCCCCCTGTGCTCCTTCGTCCAGACTGGAAGTGTGTTACTGGCCAGATTACCAGGTGAAAATAGAGGGGAAAAAAAGAAAACTAAAGCAGCCACCACATCTAATGATTGGTAAGATGCAATATATTACAATTTTGATTTTGTGTTTACTACCTCTTTAAAGTATCCTAAGGGTTAATTTTCAATTTTGATTGCAGTGTACCTTGAACTGCATGTGGGAACGCTCCCCCTTCTCTCCAAGGCTATTGCAGCACCATCTTGATGTTTTGTCCAGAATTGCCTCCTAAAGGGAAAATGTTACCATGAAAAGAGCACTTGAGCATGCAGCAGTTATCTAATTAGATAAAATAACAGGTTTTCACCTGGCCTGCCTGTGTCCAGATTAGTGTTACAATGCAATTCCTAATTTATTCTGGGCACAGCTATTTTAAAATATTATCCCAAGTGTCCAAGTACAAAGCAGTGTCAAGAGCCCCTGCGTCTATGCAATTTTCTCCTATAAAGTTGAAAATTTAAATTGAAGAACCAAAAAAAAAATGCAGATTTTTCAACCTTGCCCATTGAACATCAAAAAAAGAGATTTTTTTTTAAATGTTATTTTTGATTTCTGACTTCCTAAGCATGGAAGATTCTGGATAATTTAGTACTGTTGGTGCGGGATCCTAGGGTTGGGTGCAGGTAAATGTAATCCTTGGACTGCACAGATTCATTATTGATGAACTAACCCTAACAAAGCCCTAACAACGCTCCTTTTTGGTCTGTTAAATATACCATTGAAAGTGTTATGTTAATTCTCTTCAATAAGTGCAAAAAACACCAGAAATCTTGGAAATTTGCTTGCTTCCTGTGTTCTCTGTCTGACCTGAATGTAGGCTGCCAGAGGTTGTCATATACATGGTTAAATAGTTAGTCTGGTGAAAAAAAAAGACAAAAGTCCATCCAGTTCAACCATTAAATAAAAAAAAGTTATAATCCTATACCCACAGTTGATCCAGAGGAAGGCAAAAAAAACCCCAGTAAAGCATGATCCAATTTGCCTGCAAGGAAAAAAATTCCTTCCTGATCCCCCAAGAGGCAATTGGATATTCCCTGGATCAACTTTACCTATAAATGTTAGTATCCAGTTATATTCTGTGTATCTAAGAAAGAATCCAGGACTTTTTTAAATCAATCCACTGAGGTGGCCAGAACCAACTCTTGAGGGAGTCTATTCCACATTGTCATGGCATTACTTCCAGCTAAGGGCATACAGTGGGGAAAATTACCAAAGCTTGGTTGTTGACCTATCATCTCTTCATTGTACGATACATGGTCCTACAGTCTTCTGCCCTCAAGCATGGACAAGAGCCACTATCATTATTTTTTCCATGGCAGCAGGCCTGGTCTCTAAGCTAGCCTTGCACGACAGCTGAGGAACGCATTGCAATAGCCCGGTCATCCATGCAGGTTCATCAAGGATCTTCTCGAATCACCCCACTATTAGGATCCACTGTCAGAAGGCCACCACCTGCTCCTGTCCTGAGTTGGCTACCAACTGTCTCTCCTTCCCTATATGTATCTTCATAGGCCTTGTTACGGCCTACTGAGGCCCATCTTCACAATCCCTTGAGTGACAGAAGAATGAGGCAATTTGTTGCAGAATGCTTCTTGTACTGAACTTGAACATGTTATTATAACATATAAATAAACACTCAAAAGTGATCCAGTAGCGCATAAATATATAAGTGAAAGAGTATGTGTAAAAACTAAAAAAAAATCTAGAATTAGGTGTATAGTCCCAAGAAAAGTCCAAAGAACAATCCTAAACCACCAAACGATTCTTCAGACTCTTCAAAATAACCACCACGTGAGAAAAGAAAATGGTGTCCCCCCTATCAGGTGTACACTCACCAGCAAGTATTGCCTCCCACTCTCATGGTTGGCAAAAATAGCTCAATAAATAGCTCTCGGTAGGATGAAGGGTCAACCAGTGCCGATATGCTTCCTCTCCTCCACTCTCCATAATTGCCTATCGCCAAAAAGGCCGGCAATCTTTTCAAGTGATAATGGATTTCCAATATGGCAGCACTTAGGGTAGCACAGAGGAGTTCCTCCCTCCTTTTAATACTCTATATTCAGATAAATGGTCATGTAAAAGAAAAGAAGAAAAAGCCCCAATGGTGCAGTAAGAAACGCAGCTCCTTTATTGCCAA